TATATATATAGGAAAATTCTCAGGTCCAGCACCTCCCGGTCCGAACGCCGTCCGAACACCGACGTTTGGGGAGGTTCCCGGTGGAATTTTTTGATGAAATGTTTTTAGCATGTTCCTCATCAAGTCTAGTTTATACATACCAAATTTCAGCTCAAAATTCGATCGGGAAGGCAGTCAAATAATTCGTTGAAGTTAACTGCGTTTTTCTATGTATAATTTGACGCAGTTAACTTAAACGAATTATTTGACTGCCTTCCTGATCGAATTTTGAGCTGAAATTTAGTATGGATAAACTAGACTTGATGAGGAACATGCCCAAAAAATTGAATCAAAAAATTCCTCCGGGAACCGCCCCAAATGGCGGTGTTTGAACGGCGTTTGGACAGAAAACTGCTGGACAGGAGAATGACTATATATATATATAGATGGTGCAGTTCCGGTGAGAAAGAAGGCTTAGGAGAGAAATGAGAATCAAATCTAGCCATCTAATATATTAAATTAACGGTGAAGATTAAACATAAGTGAGATATGGTAGATTGTAATTAAATTGAACTATTGAGGGCAATTATAACGGTAACACCAACGATATTAATGTCAAGGGCAATGTTGTAAAATTCTTTAAACCGTTGAACTAATCTCCTTAAAAATCTCATTGTGATTTGTTCCTACGGTGAATAGCAAACCCACTTTCCTTAAATTTTGGATCAATAAATGCAAAGCCAATATGCTAGAAACGTTTCAAATAATTATGAACTTCCCCACACAAAACTGATTATATATCTTTTAAATCATAAACTTGTGCATATGCAAAGAATAATTAGTAAAAAAAATTGCAACACACGCTTAGTAAAGTGCATCCCTGATATTTTTAGATTATATATATAGAATTAATTCCACTTTAGGTCCTCCGAGTTTTGTGTCATTTCCATATTCAGTCCTCGTCTTTCACTTTATCCATTTTTTGTACCTGACTATTTTTTTCTTGACCATTGGTGGTCCATTTCTGAGCATTTTTACTATCGGAAAAGGACTATATATGATCAAGAAAATAATAGTCATGTACCAAAAATGGATAAAATGAAAGACGAGGACTAATTGTGGAATTGATGCAAAACTCGAAGGACCATAAGTGGAATTTAAAATGTGTTTATGTGCATTGCATGTGGTTAAAATGTGCATCCCGAAGTGACAACTAAATAATACATAATATTTAAAATGCATCGGAAAGGCTAAAAAGTGATATTATTGTCAAATATTGCGCATAAGAATTCAAAGTAATTATATATTTATATACAATTGCTATGTGCATAAGAAATTAAGAATGATAATACTAAAGTAAAAACATATAATGATTGTGCATAATGTATCCTGAATTCATTGAATTATATATGTGAATTTGTTGTAAAGTGCAAAAAATATATATCAAAAGTGCATCATTCTTTCATATGTGAAAAATGCACAATTAGAATGATAGAAATGCACAAATTGTTAAATATAAATTTTATATGTATGCACAAAGAATAATATAATCAATACACTATATCATAATGCAAAAATTATTTGTCAAAAGTGCACAGTTAAAATGATGTAAATTAGAAATATTCATCAGTTTTTAGTATACTATGAAAAAAATCAAGTGTATAGGTAGAATAATAAAAAGTGCACTGATAACTAGAATAAGTGCATAAATTTGTTTAATAGAATGAACTAGAAACAAAAACAAAATAAATATATTTAATAAATTGAAAGTATAATTGTAATAGTAAATATAATTATTAATATGTATACGGAAGAACAAAAAAAAAAATAGAAAATATATTGCTAGAGTAACTAATTAGGAAGCCTAATCAATGCACCTAAACAACAGGTTACCTTACTATTCGGATGTGATCACTACCAAAATGAAATGATGTGAATTCTCACATTTGCCCAACTAATTTATACGTAATTCCCTCAAGCTTTTAATCAATCCAATGGTCAAGAATTGTTCTTTTTTCTATCTTAAGATCTTATTCTCATCCCTCAAGCTCTTAATATATATATATATATATATATATATATATATATATATATATATATATATATATATATATATATATATATATATATATATATATATATATATATAGGGTGCGGTTCCGGTGAGAATAGTTCTTAACGTGAGAAATGAGAACGCTCCAAAATGATGCACGTTATCATTCACGAAAATGCACATTTATAGTTAAAGTAATGCAAAATTCTAATGTGCACGTTTCTAATGTGCACGTTTACGTGTAATCTTTTGCACACTTGAAATGCACATTTTCCAATATTTATATGCACATTTCTGTTTTACTTGATGCACAGTGCCAAAATCCAAAGCTCCAAAATCATTCTCATTTCTCACGTTAAGAAGTATTCTCATTTGATCCTTACTATATATATATATATATATATATATATATATATATATATATATATATATATATATATATATATATAGTTATATACTTATGAATAGATAATATTATAGAGTGAATTGGGAGCTATATTATAGAAAAAGTTCTTTGCATTCAATGTTTTTTCAACCCCGTACAACCACAAAATGTACAATGTGAAAGCTATTAGTTGGAGGCTCTGGCCGAGGTGACCAGGCCTGGGTGACTCTTACAACAACAATAACAGCAACATTAAAGCCTTAATCCCAAAAGATTTTGGGGTCGGCTAATATTTCAATTCATGTCATGTGAAGTGACTAAGTTTATTGTTGACCGTCACGCGCCTACCACAACATCCCCCCTTTATCCTCGGTGACTCTTCTTGAGCTAAATTGCCAGACCCATGTCCTTTCATTATTTCTGGGCATCTTCTATGTGATGGACCTCATCTGGCCGAGGGGGCCCCACCGAGGGATAATCTAGTAGCTTGAAGTCTTGTTTGTGTATTCATGAGTATGTGGACCATAGGTCCAGGCTCATATACTCTGTCACACATAATCCGATTCATTTTATTCAAAGAAAACATCAAAGAGTTACAAGGTTGTCAAATTCTAATTTTTTTCACACTTGAAGATTGTATAAGACACTAACATACTTTACTCAAATTCTTGATAATTCTGTTACGTCTGATATTAAAATTGATATAGATCAATACTTTTATAAAATTTAGAGGTGAATATGGCATGCCTCTATTTCCCAAAAACAAGACATGCATCTAATTCAAATTAATATATAAATATACAATTTTATAGGCTTGTTTTCAAAAGGAAGATTTTTCAAAACAAGACTAAATAGAGTTTGAAATTTCAAAATAAGACTACTATATTTTTCTTCCTGAAATAGGACTAAGATGACAATATTTACTGTCATCTTTTAGTCACGACTCTCAAATAGTTGCAGTAATGTGTATTTAACATGACAGTATTTATTATATTTAATGACAATATTTTTCAATCATGACAGTAATGACTGTTATTTCGGGAAGAAAAACATAGTTGTCATATTTTAGAATTTCCAAAGTTGTTTACTCCTAATTAGAACAATTTCCCCTTTTTAAATCGTCCACACCTATAAAATGTCAAGTCACGAGTGTTACTACTTTTTAAAACATTCATAATATCACTTACAATGTGATGTATCACATTTACACTAAATATACATTACTTATATTAATGTCTCTTAAGCATTATTCATACGTATTTGTATCTTTTGTAACACCATTTATATAGAAATATAATATGAGTTACACAAAAGTACTAATCTGAAAAGTATATCAACTACAACTTTTCTGATTTGATCCCAATGTTTCTCGTATGGGTTACGCTAAACACTTTTGTGTAAAAGAGTTGCACAAAACCTACTTATACTTACACCGTACATTCATGCTACATTGCAAATTGTGCACACAAAGCACTGATATGAAAGTATACCAACTACAACTTTTCTGATCTGATCTCAATTTTTTACGATCTTATATATAGGACCTTTCTTATCTAATTGGATGTATAGCTTGAGTGTTAATATTTGAATACTATAATATCAATCATATTGTTTTCATTATTGTTGGTAAATACATTGAAAAATTGTAATTATTCAATACCTAAATATGGATGCGGGAATTATATTGGAATTTTGATATGGACAAACATTGTCCAATGTGATGACCATTCTAAGGTATGCCATCGGTTGTGGAGAGGTATGCCATCAATTCAATTGAGTCATACCTGTATCAAGAATCTTTGATAGTTGATTTCATCTATAACAATACATGGAATTCTCTACTTGCTTTGATGCGTCATCCATGCATGCTCTTCAATTGCGTCAAAACAGGGGAAAAGGAGAGGGGTTGTAGTGTCATCTCCTTCTCTTCTATTATTCCATTGCGTATTTACCATTCCCCTAATAAATGAATAAAATATAGAAGAAAACAAATCGGTCGTGAAAAATTCAAAATACCTTAAAATCAGTATCAACTAAAATACAAAAGTTCTCTCGAAATTTTGGACCTTTTGAGATATTCTTTGAGAGATTTCTCTCAAATGTCCCATTACGTTTCTTATTTATTTAAGCTTTTCTAGTGGAAGAAATTGTCATTTTTTAGAGCACATGTGATTTTTTATGTGTTAATGCTTTTATTATAGTATATGTTCTTTATCAAATATCAATGTTTCTTGAAATGAGATGAATTTCATTTTGATTCAATGACCTCCATTTTTGGAGTATTACATTGAACCACCGAACTACAAGCTCCTTGGTGAGTACAAGTGATTTTTGAAAATTCATAAAATTTTAAAAATTGGATGAAGAAAAAAAACGAGTTCTGCTTGGTGCACTCCAAAATGGGTATCTTTTTTACCCCGCCCATTGTATGGTTCAAATGAGGCCACCATTTAAATGAGTTCCCCACTTAAATGAGTTGTTCCATTTGAGTCACACAATATGGGGTGAAAATGAGGTACCCATTTTAGAGTACTTATGGTATTTTTGAAAAAAATGAAACGAAGATGTGGGATCCAATCATCCAAATATGGAATCGGAGGAAATAATACAACCATAAAATCTGAGATGGAGATGATCGTTTCTGGGTGTTGGGGCTTGTGGAACGAAAGGAATCAAAGAGTTTGGAGCAGGGTTCAGACGGATGGATGGCAAGTGATGGAGAAAACCCGAATTTTTGTGGAAATTGGGCTAAGGTGCAGCGACATGCGTTATTTTCTGGGAGCAGATCTGGCGAGGTTATTTGTAGGTGGCAGCGACCGGTTGAAGGGTGGAGGAAGATCAACGCTGACGCTTCGACCGGAGGAGAGAGCTGCGGCTTTGGTTGGGTTGCTCGTGTCTGTTATGGTTCTTTTGTTGCAGGAGAAAGCATAAAGCGTAGGGGTCACATGACTGATGACTCCTTTAGAAGCTGAGCTAATGGGCTTAAGGGAGGTTCTGAGTTGGCTAAAGAAACAACAATGAGATTTCATTGACGTGGAATCTGATTCTTAGCTATCAGTGAAATTCGAAATGACTCCGGGTGATCCGAAAGTTGTGTTTGTTTTTCAGTTCCCTATCCTTTTATTATTAATGTATTGAAAAATGATTGGATGAATAGCAATTGATTTAATTCTCTCAAGAAAATACAACCATAAAATATGAGAAGGAATCCTCCGAAGTGAGGAAGACCATACATGTTTTTGGGAGGAAGTGGTTATTCCTAACAAACGTTGTTTGTATTTCGAAACATGTACAGCAATCATGTGGCTGGTATTCATTTCGTTCGTATTTTGAAAAAAAGCATGTACGCACATGACTTTTTGGGACGAATCTCAACCACTCGATTCAAGAAACAGGTTAAAATTGTTTGAATATTTTCCGGCGGATGGGAATTGAGTCGGTTGACCTAACTTAGACACCTGTCCTCGTCGTCTGGTGCGCACAAATCTGCACATTTCTTTCACCTTCTCCACTGTTTCTTTCCTTCTCCGTCTACGCACTTCACCAGCTTTTCCAAGAAAATCTTTGCTCTTCATCATTAGCCCAGAAGAAAGAAAGGGCTCCCCAGTCCCCATTGTTTGGGATTGTGGATCAGATTCCCTTTCGTGAGTTGGTGGTAGAGACTAGAGACGCTGAATGATGTTGGGTCTGGGTAGATTCATGGAAGAAGCTGATAATTGAGCAGAAGGTTTCTGAGAGACAGATTTGATTACAGAAGTCAAGGAGAATGAGAACGTTATGTGATGCTTGCGAGAGCGCCGCCGCCATACTCTTCTGCGCCGCCGACGAGGCTGCTCTTTGTCGTGCTTGCGATGAAAAAGTTAGTTTCTTTATGCCTCACACTCATGATTACTAGTACGAAATGTTTCTTGTTCATTTCATCTTTACAAGTATGGCTATCTGCCTTAAAAGCAGGCCTGATGAAAACTTGCAATTTGAATTTCGTTTTGTTAAGGATGCACTAAGATTGATCTGATTGCTCTTTTCTTGTTTGTTATTGCATACTATGTGGTAACTGATTGCAAACTGTTAATCCACCTGATGGAAGGGGCGTAGCTAGGGGAGGCCCAACGCTGGCCCGCCTAAATTTAAAAAATGTCTAAATTTTTATTTTAAAAATTCCGTGTTAATTTTTTATCAAAAATATTCTTTGTACGGGCCCAGTCCGGCCCACTGCCCTGGCTCCGCCCTGACTGCTGGGGCTGTGGTGGATTAGTAGTTGTCTTAAGGCTTTGTTTGGTTGATGTAGGAGGAATAGAAGGAGAGGAACTGAGGAAGTAGTTTGAAGGTAGAAGAAAAGAAGAGAAATATTTATCTGATTGGAGAGGATAGAGTTAAATATTTGAATGGAAAGTGATCTAATAGGTTAAAAAGATGAAAGACTAGCAAATTTGTTTGCCACTATTTATTTCCTCCCTTTCCTCTCCGAATATGGTGTTGAAGTTACTATTCATTTGGGGGAGGGATGTTTTGCTGTTTCCTCTCCCCAAAGCATGAAAGTTTCTAAATTTCAGCAATTCCCACTCCCCCCCTTTTCCTTCTTATCAATTTCCACTTACCCAACACACACTAAAGGAATGCAGTTTATTTATTTGACCAACCGCAAGGATCATCGTCATCTAGCCAATTGATCAATCACTCATTATTTAACCAATTGATAAATTGGGCCATGATGCTTTTGCAAATTTCTATCAAATACAAGCCTACAGGGCCCACACTGCCCTGAAAAGGCAAGCCGTTTCCGACTTCATTGTGATACAAGACCCGTTCAGTTAGGATTGAATTTATTGACAGTTGTAACACAATCCAAAAGTTACCTATTCTTTGGCGCATCCAATTTTGCACCAAATAACTAAGAGCACAACAGTTAGTTTTGTTTTCTATTTAAAGCTGTCTGCCTATCTGGGGATGGAATTCCATATGAATTTATTGAATGGAATGACATCAGGTTGGGCGGAACTTAGGTTTGGAGTTGGATCCCACAATCTGAAACTTATGATCCTGGTTTCACTTTTTACATTTTAAATTTTTAATAACCCTTTCAAGTAATGAAACTATCGTAGTCGATATATCGTCCAAACTAGACAGGCTCACTGATATTTATGAAATTATTATTTTTTATATGTTGCATATGGTTTCTTCCTTACATTTGGGATATGGATTAATATGCACATACTATCTTCTTGATATCTCCCAAAGTCATATTTTTGGTGCACTTATATCCTACTTAACCCCTCTTGGACTCACTTTAGGAGAGGTAATGCAGGTCCATATGTGTAACAAGCTTGCCAGTCGACATGTACGAGTTGGGCTTGCTGATCCCAACAAAGTCTCACGCTGTGATATATGCGAAAATGCACCTGGTACGCAGGTTCATCTCTCTCCATTTTTTCTCATTTTTTCTTCCACTTGCATAAACTGGTAAACCGTAAAAGTATGCACATCAGACGTTTTTTGCGTGTAGCTTTCTTTTACTGTGAGATAGATGGAAGTTCACTATGTTTGCAATGTGATATGATTGTTCATGTTGGTGGAAAAAGAACACATGGAAGATATCTTCTTGTAAGGCAGAGAGTCGAGGTTTGTGGAATGATTCTACAGCAATTACTAGCTCTGGTTTTTTTTGGGGGGGGGGGGGGGGGGGGGGAAATCCTTAAATATTACAAGTGCTACCCATTGGAAAAAATGTTAACTTATAATATTAGGGCATAGATATCCCGAAATAATTACAAACTGTCAATGGCCATGAACAATTACCATTGCAGTTTTAACTGGCCAGTTGAGATGGTAACTGCATTGGTGACATTTATGCCCTAAAATTAAAAGTAATATTTTTTTGTCAGAAGGATTTTTAGTTAGTAATATTTTAGGATGAATCCCATGTTTTTTCCCAATCCTGCATATGCTTTATAATAAACCTTTCGTTTGTTATTTTCTGTAGTTTCCTGGGGATAAATCTGGACCACTAGACGAGCCAGTAGCGCAACCTACTGACAGAAATGAGCCAAAGTGGGAGCCAAACCACCCCTTCAAGATGAAAGATAGCGCACCAAGTGCCGATTTTCTTGACAAAAATGCTGAAGTCGGCAGAAAAACGGAGAACAAATTGATTGATCTCAATGCTAGACCTAATAGAATGCATGGTCAAGCTTCTGCTAACCATCAGGTATTCTATCACAAGACAGGTTTTGTCACATTGACTGTGAATGTGCTTTAGCAATTGATATGCTGTCTCAGGGACCCGGAATTGGTGGCCTTACTGATAACAATCACGAGTCAGACCGTGTAATCCATATTGGATCAGTTAAAAGAGAGTCATAAAAGTGGTTTTGGCATACTCTGACTGCCCTGGTATCCTCTTATATTCATTATTTGTCCCCAACCTTTGTCACACATGTATGTTCATTATGTTAGATGATCTCCCTCCCTGGGAAAGGAGGCCCCCCTTTGATGTTTTGGCTTGATGCACTTAGTACATTAATTTTTTTAGTGATCAATAAATTGAACAACACAATTCTAAATGCACCGTACTTTGGGATGAACGGAAAAGGAAGAGTGGAACTTTTTTACCTTTTTAGTGATGAAGTAAAGTACCAAGCACTCCCCCCGTCCCTCAATACTTTGCCATGTTTGACCGACACGTGAAATAATAAAGTAAAAACGGTGTGATTGAGATATGTGCCGAGGAGAGAGAAATAACAAGAACCACATATTCATCGATTAAAAGGGAAAAGGGAAAGTGACAAAGTTTTTGGAACATCCAAAAAGGAAATATGTCAAAGTTATAAGGGACGGAGGGAGTATTATTTTAGTCTGAAAGAGTTCATCAAAGGTTGCAATTAGTATGACGGATGAAATAATACTTACCAATAACAACAACAATAATCACAATAGTTATTGATACTCCCTACATCTTTCGCTTTCCGTCCGTTCCGATAAGTTTGTTCCATACCATATTAGGTAATGTTTGTGTGGTTCTAATTCAAATTGTACTCTATTCACACTATACCATTTAATACAACTACATAATTCTACTTTTCTAATTCTACTTTTCCTAATAACTGCACCACCCCTCACGTCTCAATCCTATCCTAGAGGAGAGGGGAGGTAGTACTATTTAATTGAAAAAAGCCCGAAGTGTAATGTACTTTTTTCCACATTGTTTTCCAGGAATGGATAGCTGCAGGATTAAAGGGAAAAGATTTAAGTATGATAAGTGATACACAATGCAGCTACATTCAGATTTGAAAATGTACGAAAAAACTTGGATTAACAGCTCTTTGTTGCCAGTTGCCACCTCTGGTTCCTGAGAAATAATGATGACTCATATGTTCAATTTAAAATTATTAGCAACACAAACATTTAAAGTAGTTTTGCAAGCTCAAGAAAAATTCAATCTTCACCGAGTCTTCGATCTCTGAGCATTGTAGATTCAAAACCGTGTGCTTTCCTCCAATATGTAAGACAAAAGTTACAGATGGTGATATTGTTGCATACTTGCATGTTACTATATAGTTTTGGGATAAATTGTGTTTAGTTATATCTTCTTTCTAGATCATCACACAGTTCTACTAAGTCGGTGGGGAAAATCGGGTGGCCGTGTTACCGTGTAGGTGGTCCGGATTAAATTTTTTCCCCGACCCAACTCATTTTTCTGTTTTGTCTTGAAACAACGTTTGATCAATAAGTATTCTATTCCAACATAATTTATTTTCATATTGGGAAAACTGTCAAATAGGCCCTTCTATTACGAAAAAGTCAATTGGGTCATCGGATTTTTTTGCGAATCAATTGAGTCCACAAAGTGTTAAAAATCAATCAAATTAACTATTTAACCGGTTGGATACCACTAATACCGGTTATCGCTGACTTGGATGCCCATGTGGCTGCCTTGGATGCCCATGTGGCAATAGTTTTGTTTTTTCATTTTTTTTCTCTTTCTCAATTCTCTTTCTTCTCTTTGACTTTTTTTAGCAAGCCCGCGGACCCGTTTTTTTGCTCCCTTCTCAATTTCTTTTTCTTCCGTTCTTTCCTCTCCACCTTCTTCGACGGGTGACTTCCTCCACCTTCTCCGGTGGGTGACTTCCTCCACCTTCACCCTGCCTCCGTCGTCCCTACCCCATACCCACCATCTCGGCCGCCCCTACCTCCATACCCACCACCTCCACCGCCCTACCTCCATGCCCACCACTCCGCCGCCCCTATTTCCATACTCACCAGTCACCATCTCCGCCTTCTCTATATACCTCCATACCCACACCTCCCCACCCCTACCTCGATGGACCAAAACCCCCCAGGCCAGCCCAGCCCCTTCTATGTTCGGAGTCTCGAAGATGGAGACCTGTAGAAGTAAGGGAAAGAAGTGGATCGATTGACATGGAGAAAGAAAGAAAGTAAAAAAAAGAAAGCAGGGAGAACTATCAAATAAGCCCTCGAACTTACGTAAAAAGTGCAAATAAGCCCTTTTATAGGAAGCTCTGTCGGGCCATCGCCATTTAGGGCGGTTCACGGTGGAATTTTTTGATGATTTTTTTTGAGCATCTTATTCATTAAGTCTAGTTTACTCATACCAAATTTCAGATAAATATTCAATCGAGAAGACATTCAAATGAATTTTTGAAGATAACTGCGCAGTTAAAAGAGCAGTATATTTCAGAAAATCATTTGACTGCCTTCTCGGTTGAAGTTTTAGCTGAAATTTGGTATGGGTAAACTAGACTTAATGAAGAAGATGTTCAAAAAATTTCATCAAAAAATTCCACCGGAAACCGACCCGAATGACGACGTCCGGACAGAGCTTCCTATAAAAGGGCTTATTTGCACTTTTTATGTAAGTCAGGGGTTTATTTGATAGTTCTCCCAAGAAAGTAAAAAGAAAGAAAGAAAACGAAATGCAGAAATGGGGGAGAAGACGGACGGGTCTGGAGGCTAGAGAAGAAAGAATGAGAACACAAAAAAGAAAGAAGAAAGAGAAAGGAGAAAAAGAAACAGAAAAAGAAAGAATAAAAAATAATAGAAAACAGTAAAAAAATGCAACTTGGACATCCACATCACCAGGTAACTGAGTTGCGGGTTGTTTACCGCTCAAATGGTGGATTTGGTCTTTTTTTTAATCTTGATGGACTTAATTGATTCACAAAAGACTTTGAGGACTCTATTGACTTTTTCATAATAGTATGAGGACTTATTTGACAATTTTCCCATTTATATTCTTTCAATAAAAATTATTTTTTAATATATACAAAGTATACGCTTTTTAGAATGTATATGGACATTTTTAGAGGCTAGAAGAACACAAATCTTAATAAATTTATTAATTATTTTATTATTGATAATTTTAAAATGCAAAAATATTTTATTTCAAAATTAATTCTTTATTAGATGATTACTTTAAAGTGCAAATATATAAAGAAATTATAAATTTATACAGGGTGTTATACTGTTATTTAAGATAATTTATAATTTTGATGTTATCCTGAAATAATAGTAACAACTTAAAAGTAGAATGATAAATCGTATAGAAATTGCTCTAAATAGGAGCAAAAACGTTTTGAAATTCCAAAATAGGAGTATTATGTTTTTTATTCCCTGAATAGGAGTAATCTGCCAAGTTTGGAAAAAAATGCCATGTTTTAAAGCCTAGTAATGCCAAACTTGGCAGAAATTTACTCCTATTCAAGGAATAAAAAACATGATACTCCTATTTTGAAATTTCAAAACTTTTTTACTCCTATTTAAGGAATTCTCTCTAAATTGTATTTTAATAACTACTAAGAAGAATACATTTAATTATTATCTTATCTAAATTTCTCTTATATCTTTTTATGTTATTGAAAAGTTAAACTCCACTCCTGCAACTATTATAGAAATCACAATTACAATTAGAATTTTAAAGGATTCATCCTTGAGAAAAAAAATTTATTACTCCCTCCCCACTAAAATTATGTTATTTTGGCTTTTTCTGAAAATCCCACTAAAATTGTCTCATTCCAAATTTGATAAAGTTTGTATGACTCTACATCATTTTTACTTTTTTTTTTAGTTTATTAGTTCAATATATAAACCGCATAAAGCCGCTTTTCTTAATAATCGTGTCACCCTCTGATGTTCCAATGTTAGTGGGACAGTCTGATGTTCCAATGTTAGTGGGACGGAGAGTACTACGTAATTGAGAACGACACTGACGTGTAATTTGATCATATCTGAGTTTCAAGTTATCCATTCTAACCTTTTAAAGTCATTTGAAAGCTAAGTCCGTTTTCGACAAATATTAGAGGCTACAATTTCCACGCTCATCAACCATATAATATCAAATCGAAGCAGGTTAGACGGACTCATAAAAACAAATCAGTTAAAACTCGACTAGATTAATTCCAATAGATTAGACCAATAATTTCAGTCTTAGAGAATAATTGGATTCACAACCGTTGAAGTCTCACATCGGTAAATTAAGAAGTAATAAAGTGTTATATTAAGATCTTGAACTACTCTCCTATCACGTTGAATTTTAGGATGGAAACTTATGATATCAATGCCAAACTAATCCATAACCATTGTGTAGACCTCTTATGAAAAATGATAACACGGTTACAATAAAATGACAATGACAAGCTGACGAAAAAAGTGAATGAAGAAACGATGCAGACAAAGTGTTTGATCGCGAGAAAGGTGTTGAAGTCCTACACCGGTAAATTTAGAAGTAATAAAGTGCTATATTAAAATTTTGAATTGTTCTCCCTATAATCCTATTAGGTTCACCTTTTAGAATGGAACATTAAATCTTAACAACTCAGTTTGTGTATAAAACCCCTTTTGCTTTGGTGTAATGGAAAGAAATCAAAACAAGGATGATGAAAAATTAACCCTTGTGGAGCGCCAAAGGCTAGGAAGTCCGCACATGTGTTTCTCTCTAGCAGAGTATGGTGTAATGTAAGCCCCCAAACAGTCTTGAAGAAGCCCCTGACAGTCTCAACAAGCCTCACCTTCTCACCTTCCCTTTCCAGTTTTCATCACGGGATTCCAGACAGCCGCAATGACCGCTTCCTCGTCCATTTCAGCTACCACATCATTTGATCAGAGATTTAACGAGAAACAAATCTTGATTAAGAGTATTGAGCTTCACGCTTAGTCCCTCTAGAGGGGCTATTGTGCCATGATCATTTGTCATTGAGTAGATGACATGATACAAAATAATAAAAGATCTTTTGATAATGATTCACAAGTAGAATAATCATGCACATGGGTAAAATCGTTGCTCTCTAGATATATTGCAATGAACTCCCGACATAAGTAGGGCTATGCGATAAAAATCATAACATAGAATTAGCATAACTAAAATAATGAGATCATCGATTAGCCTTTAGCTGGACTCCCTGCTCAAAGACAGGTCATCAATGCCTGAAATGAGATCATCAAGTGATGAAGCATCCGATTCTATCCACACTCCAGAACATTTAGAGACAGCAGCTTCAGGTTCTAAGGCGCTCTCAGCTACGGCTATTTTCACTTGTCCAATGAGTTCATCTTCCTCGTCTGGGATGTCTAGTTCCCACACCTTAAAGATGTTATCAGCTGGCTGGTCCTCCACAAATGCTGGAAAGATCGAGTCTAGCTCAGGATCAACAGTTGCGAATATCATCTGGTTTTCATTGTACGTAGGAAGGAAAACGTTATCCAAGTCAAATTTTGTGTTGAAAGTATCACTTGTTTCACTGATCTGATCATAATCTATCATGTTTAACCCCTCTTGTTCATTTCTTAGAGGATCACAGGTTGTTATTTCATCTAACACTTGTGAGTTTCTACCCTTTTTGTTGAGAAAAAACTTTCTTTCACCCGTTTCACGAAATTCACCATTTTCTTCAAAAGAAGAATTCAGTTTGGAACCATGAATCCCTAAAAAGGCAAAGGCATTTCCGAATGAATTCAAGCCACCCTGTGATAGTTCAGCATCTGGACAAAGGCAGGAATCGGCCCATGCTAGATCTTCTGCAGAGCTTTTGCCACTGTATCCACTATAAATAAGACCCAGTGGTGGGACACTAGCTGGCTTTGTGTTGTCTCTGAAATCCATGACTAGGGTGATGCAAAGACGGTATATTTCCCTGAGAAGTGCATTAACCATATCAGGATTTCAAGAACCAATCAAAACTGTTAAGATGATCAGTAAGAGCAGCGTTTGCAGTCTGATCGCACTAGAAAACCATCAGCAAACATTATGTACTCCTCCAATCACATTATAGGCCTATCGTTACCTTCAACAAATACGATCTGGGGAGGGTGGAATGAATGCAGACCTCCCCTCTACCCCTTTCTGTTGCAATGAGGCTTAGAAAAAGTAGTGAAAGGTAGTGTAGGCAGTGTAAAAAGTAAGCAAGAAAAGTATACAACATATGCGATTAAACAAGAAGCGAGCAAACAATCACACAATTAAGCTTTAAAAAAAGCCTAAACAAGCACACATAAAAAACAGTATGGAACTGCTATCCTTGCTAAAGTACGAAGAATGAGACATTAAGACTTGAGGCTCATAATGGCCTCAAGACTCTTTTTTATACCCACATTTTATTAATCATCAAAACAAGTACATATGGAGGAGCAGAGGGTTTGAGGGACACATATGAAAAGTGTTAATCTTTTATATTTATTTACTTTCTTCAAAATTTGTTCCGCCTTCGGCTAATGAATGTAATTCAAATTTGAAACTGCTGAGTACACTATCCCTTTTACAGCTCATTCGCAGCCATTTCCTTAACATGGAGAAAAATAGAACACCTCAACTAAAAGAAACCAATTAAATCCAAATTCTACAAGCGTGAAACTGAGTTATTCTCATGAAAAACATACACCGCCTTCCGCCAGGCAAAATCCCAGTTAGTTCTTTTTCTTCCAGAAAGATATTATTCCTCCAGAGGTTCCAATCACAGGTGCACAAGACTTGCATTCCCTTCACCTAGACAAGACATGGCTCAATGTGTAGAATCGCAACATTTAGAAAGCTTCTTCAATTCATGACTATACCTTTGGTGTAAATGATCAGATGTACCTTATGATGCAGCCTTAATACACCTTTAAAACAATAAAACCGAAACAAAGCCTACTATTCATCCACGGCGAAGGTTTGAAATTGTGTATTGCGTAGTTGTGTGTTTTTAAATTGCATATTGCGTAAGCATCATTGCGCAAGAAGGCATATGCCCGAGGTGTAAATGTGTAAATAACTTATTCACCACAAGTCATCAAATGTTATACTCCCTCAGTCCCAAATTGTAAGATACATTTACTATTCACTTGGTCAACATAAATTACTCTTAATCTTTTACTTTACATATCAAAAGTTTATGAAATTTGAATTATTTTTTGCAGGTTTTGTAGCAGTTTTAATGTAGTTTCTGAATATGTAAATCTTATTTTGTAAAACTAATTCGAGTGTTGACAGGGATCAATTTGCTTTATCGTCGGTCAAACATCGTAAACCGTAAAGTATCTTACAAATTGGGACGAAGGGAGTATTATATACGTAGTAACAAATTATAATGAGAGCATAATATGTTCAAATATAAATTTTTAATAACACCAAGAATTCTAGGAGCACAGATTTCGACTATAAATCGAACATGTAGTTGATCTCACCTATACATAAATATCTATGATACTAAAACAGCCTCGATGAGCAAACATGTTCCCTAAACACATTTTGGGGACGACATTATTTCCCTGAATTCATCGTATGCCGAACGAGGGGTTAGTAACTGTTTGATTAGAGATTTCTGAATTTTACCTTACACGATGATGCCGAAAAGCTAGAGTTACGAACGCTACAAATAGAAACTCATGCCCAGAACAGAGAAACTAGAGTTTGAGAATACTCCGTATGAAACAGCAGTTTTTTTTTTTAATTGGGAATGGCGGCTTTGTTAAGAAAGGTATTTGAGATCGAAAGAATTTACTACGGAGCGAGTCATTTTAAAATTCCAAAACAGGACCGTCATATTTTTATTCTCAAAATAAGAGTAATTATTATCTATTTTGGAAAATACTGTCATGTTTAAAGTTTGGTATTGCCAAAATATAACAGTAATTAGTCGTATTCTGAGAATAAAAACATGATAGTTCTATTTTTGGAATATACAAACGTTTTAGTCCTATTTTGGGTAATTTCTCAAAAGAATTTATGGCTGTGAAATTTTAAAATATGATTTTAGAATTTGTAATATGTGATTAAAATTTATGCTGTCTAAATTTGACAGTAATTATTTCTATTTGAAACATTGAAATATGACAGTCTTATTTTAGAATTCATAAATATTTTTACTCATATTTCTATTTTTCTTCTTCAAAATAGAGTAATAATATTCTTATTCCTTAGACTCGAGTAATGGACATGTTTATAAAATATTGCCACTAGTATTTTGTCATATTAATGGCGTGAAATTTTAAGTTGTCATTGGCGGAATATAAAGAGCCCCTTTGGTAGCACGAAAATCGACTGTTTTGGCTGATTCTGCTGAAATTTATGAAGTTCTGGTTGAAGTGGCTGCATTGGCTGATTCTGCTGATACAAGAAAAAAATATTTTTAAAATATAATTTATTAATAAAATAAAGAAAAAATTATATGTAAAAATAGCTAAAATGATCATCTACAGTAACTTCAGCCAATACAGCCAGAAAAGTAACTTCAACCTTACTTTTTCGGCTTATTTTACAATTCAGCGCGCGAAAGCAAAATTTACGTGTTTGGTAAAAAAGTTGGGTGATAAGCCTGATAAACCGAAAATGAGGGTTGCCAAACGGCCTCAAAGTATCAAAGGAAAGTATCAATTAACTTGTGATAGAATAGAGTAGTTTTTGCCACTTTTAGTTATATGGCTATTATGTTACTAATATTTTTGGTAGTCAACCTTGATTTCTTTCACTTTTTGATCTTCGACTATTGTGCAAAAGACACTTTCGGTATTTGTCTTTGAAAATTTTCACAATTTGTCCTTCGACTTTAATAAAAGTAACACTTTTGATTCTTCAACTATTATAATAGTGATATTTTTAGTCTTTCACTTATTGTGTCAAAATCACAGTGTAAGAACAAAAAGTGTCAATTTGATAATACTCAGATGACTAAATGTGAGAAAGTTTGAAGTCGAGGACTCAAAGTGTTTTTCACACAATAGTCGAGGACTAAAAATAAAAAAATAAAAGTTAAGTACCTAAAGTACCGATGATACAATATTCAAGGGACCGAAAGTGGCAAAAACATAGACCATAGAACATATAACATATAATAGAGTAAAGACAAACGAGTATATGAAACTTCATAAAATATTTCGAGCCTGTTTGATGACCTATGTTTTCTGCTTTTCATTTTCATCAGTCAACTTTTTCATCAAATATAAAAGTTTTGATTTTGCGAACTGAGTTTTGTAACAATCAAAATAAGCAAGGTTGAAGTATTTTCCAGGTTGAATTGGATGAAGTTACTGTAGAGGATGATTTCAGTTATTTTCATACAATTTTTTATTTTATTTTATTAATAGAATATATTTTTGATATAATTTTTTCATAATTCAGCAGACTTAACCACTTTAACAAAAAATTAAACAATTTTAGCAGAATCAACCGATTCATCCAATATTAGTGTTACCATACGGGCTATTTGATCCGTTTGCTTGAAGGCGTTATGACAGGGAGAATTTGGGGGAAATGATATAATGATTTGCTAACTTATAATTGAAACTAGTTTATTTTTTGAAAAAAGAATGGACTTTTATATTAAATTCGAGAAAATTAAAGATACGAGACAACATCCAGACAATTATGACAAATTCGATTGTGAGCCCCGAGAATAGACTTTGAATCAGCCACTTCATACAAAGCAATCTGATTTGCTAGACACAAAACGGACGATTTAAAGCCTAAAACAATCAGAACTTAATTACTACCTATCAAACGTACATCAGAAGTCCAAATTTCCAAACCAAACATACTGAAACTAAAATAAAAACAAGTACTACTAATTGAAAAATAAAATTAAAATAAAGTCTTTTCACAATTTTTTTTCATGGCACATAGGTGGTTCTAGAGGAGGATGGACTCTATCAATGTCTACGCACTCAACAAGAATTCAAATAGAAACCCCTCACCAGATGAAACTAGTCGAGGCACAACATCGAGAGAGAAAAACCACCCCGAGAGCACCAGTGCTCGGGAAAGAACCGCTATAGAACAAAATCAACACACCCAGAAGAGAAGAGCAATCCAATTGGATCATACCTTTACCAAGAATCTCTGAGCGTTGATGTCTCCATCAGATCAGATAGTTTGGATCACTACATAGCTAATCGATCGGAGGTGGAAAGCAACCTATTTAATATCGCACTGCCGCAGAGATATTGAGGCGATAACGTTTCTTCTTGCGTCTCTCTCTATTGACTAACCCTAGGCGGACAATGTAAATCTACTTATAATTGAAACTCGTTGAAAATTGAAAATAATTAAAAATGACGAGATTTAATTTGATAAAAGTAATTATTCAATAATCTATAATATAATAGATGATAATCCTTCCGTCCTATTCGATTTGATCATCTTTCTTTTTATTGTGTCAACACTTTTTCATTTTTCTCTTTGAAGTAAATAATTTGAATAATTTGTGTCCGGTTTATTTCTCTCCATTCTACACAAATCTTAGATATAAAATCTTTAGTTTTCTTACTTTACTCCCAATGGGAGAGAGGCAGTGTGTTTGTGCGTGTATATTGATCACACACACACATATATATATTTCATTGGTAGTATTTTAATTGAACAGACATATGTTTAATAATTTAAAATTATGGATATGATACATTTGATAAAATTAGAAGTTGAAACAAACTAATGCATTTTATTGTTAATGTTATCTGTTGGATTTGTAAGGACTTAGTGTTGGGTGACTTTGAAAAAACAAACAAATTAATTAATTAAAATTAATTAAAATAGCCAAGAAAACCGAAACAAGTAGGACAGAAAAGTCAAAGCTTGTGCAACACACAATTTTCTTAAAACGTATTCGTTGCCTCCCACGATGCTAATAGCGTTGCAACGATTGTTTCCCAGGATACGGTGGCTAACGAATAATCGTTTGAGCACACAACTGATTGTTCCGGCGAACGGAAGTAGAGTTAGAACACTTAGGAAATTTTCAGAATACTGGAGGTTTATTTAGCTCGAAAACTACGTGTAGTTTTCGAATACGTGTAGTTAACACCTGCTAGCTATATATAGGGACAAATTTGTTGTGTGTTAAGTGACCTTTAATGGATCTGCACGTTAGGCATTAATATGTCGAAGAATTGTCCATTTAAAGACGCATAAAGGAGAAGAACGTTAGGCGTTAAAGGCTGTAACATTTCAGAACCCCTCTGATGCGCGATCAGACCAGAACTGCTTCTGATCCAACCAGAAGAGAATGAATGAGTTCCGTTGCATTTCTTGAATTATTCATAGTTTTCAAGCTAAACACACCTCCAATATAGTTGGTGGATATAGTAAAATGATAGAATTGATCACAATCAAAACATTCTTCAACGGTGTTTTATTGTTGTTCCGTTAGCTTAAGTTCAACATGTCGAATACTCAAATGTATAGTTGGTGGACGTACTAAAATGATATCACAAAAGCAAACTGGGGTACTTTCTGAGCTCTAACGTAAGTTAGAGCCCGTTTGTTGACCTCTTTTTTCGGCTTATCAGACTTATCAGCCAGTTTTTTCACCAAACACTTAACTTTTGATTTCGCACGTTGAATTTTGTAATAAGCTGAAAAAGTAAGGTTAGAGTTACATTTATGGCTGTATTGGCTGAAGTTACTGTAGAGGATCATTTTTGCTATTTTTTCATATAATTTTTTGTTTAATTTATTAATAACAAATATTTTAAACATAATTTTTTCATAAATCAGCAAAATCAGCCAATACAGCCACTTCAGCCAGAACATCATAAATTTCAGCAGAATCAGCCAATTCAGCCAATTTAATGTTACCAAACAGGCTCTTAATGTATCAATTACACTGTCAGAGACTACATTGAAGTACTTTATAGTTTCGATGTAAATCGATGCATTGTGTTCTTTACTTTACCTCAAACAAATTTAGTATTAAATTGATACCTTCCTCTAATAAAAAGATAGACAATGATCAAATGGATCCGTAACACATAAGAATCTATACAATATTTATATTATGTAGACCCATCTTTAGTGTCATTTTGGCTTCTTCATACGCTCTTATTTCGCAAAACAACCAATTTACTTACATAAATTGATAAAAATGTTAAAAGAGAGCGATCAAGAAAACCATAATGGATACAAAGTATAGGTATCTGACTCTTTAACCATAGTGGATAAACATTATCCAGTCTGCCCATTCATCTATTCCTAATGGCCCAAAAGTAGGTGTTTCGGAAGAAAGAATGTCGCAACTAGCGATGGCGGATATATATGCAAGAATGTCACTTCAGGATGAAGATGTAGATGAATTGGACATTGGAGAGCCACTCAATAGGAGAACGTGTACAAAACCTGTACATTGTCATGGGGCGTCTGGTATTTGATAAACCGGTTAAATGTTGTGATATTTGAACAGTATATCTAAACAAAATGTAAAATGCTCACATATACTCCCTCTGTCCTTTATAATTTTGTCAAGTTTCCCTTTTTGAATGTCTCACTAACTTTGCCACTTTTCTTTTAAGTAAAGAATTTGTGGTTCCAGTTAATTCTTTCTCATCTTCATAAACTTCAACCACACAGTTTTACTTTATTAATCTACGTGCCGATCAAACTTGGCAAAATTATTAGGGACGGAGAGAGTACAAATATTATATACATTGGGTTGCGTGTGAATGTATAAGTTAGTGTGTACATCAAACATTATAGTTATATTGATATATACATGCATAAGCGTGAGTATATTAGATACTC